CCCACGTCTGGCGGATGTAGCTCTTGGACAAGCAGGAGCTCCTACGTCTGTCCCAGCAGCCCAAGGAGCTCCCGTCCTGGCCGCCCCCTCAGGAGCACATGCACGGTAGCCTCGGTGAGGGCGCTTGCCAGTCTTCTGCCTGTGCCCAGGGGAACAGCCCATGGTCACTGCCCTGTAGGGCCCGTGTCTTCAGATCAGTGGCACCCCGAAACCAGAGCCTGTGCGAAGGAATTCTGAGCTGGCGCCCTTTCTCAGCAGATACTCAAGCAAGAACATGTTTTGAGAAGCTTAAGTTTACAGTCCTGAGTCTTAATATCAGTGCACCACCACTTGGGAGGTGACTGCGCGGGGCCCAGAACATCCGGTGCCCCCAGTCTGCTTCAGAAAGCCAGGCCTGGCGGGGCCACGGCAGCCATGGGCAAGGCTGTGGCCATGGCCACGGGCAAGGCTGTGGAGCTGCCCTCTCAGAATGGCCTGCCTTGCGCTCTGTCCTGGAAGCAGAGTGGCTTGTCAGGTCCTGGACCGGCTCAATTTGGAGGGAAGAGACTGGAACATTCTCCAGCAGTGTCTGCTGTCCCCACAGTGTCCGGCTGTCCCCACAGGCACCCCCACAGTGTCCAGGTGTCCCCACAGGCACCCCCACAGTGTCCAGGTGTCCCCACAGGCACCCCCACAGTGTCCAGGTGTCCCCACAGGCACACCCCCCCCCCCCGCAGTGTCTGCTGTCCCCACAGGCACCTTCACAGTGTCCAGGTGTCCCCGCAGGCACCCCCACGGTGTTTGCTGTTCCCGCAGGCACCCCCCACAGTATGCTGCAGGGCCGAGAATCAGAAATGCGTCTGCAGCCACAGGGAGGTTGGCCATGGAACGCCCTCGTTCGGGGGTACAGAGCCCTTGAGTGACATTCACACCTTTCCTCCGGCTCCGACCGTGGGAAACACTGGGGTGGTTGGCCCCAATTTCATTTCTGTTCTGCAGCTGTGTCAGCAGCCCCTGGAGGGCTCAGTAACACCAGGTGAGCCCTAGCCAGTTTGGCTCAGTGGATAGAGCATCGCCTTGCGGACAGAAGAGCCATTGGTTCAGCTCTGGTCAAGGGCAGGTACCTCGGTTGCAGGCTCGATCCCCGCCTCATAGGTGCAAGTACAAGAGGCAACCCTATCACTGTGTCTGTCTCAGTGATAGGGTTGTTTCTCTCTGTCTCTCCCTCTCCCTTCCACTCTCTCTAAAAGTCAGTGGAAACATACCCTCAGGTGAGGATTAACAAAAAAGAAAAAAGCAGAGGTTGCTGGAGGTAAAAACACAGGTGGCCGCGCCCAGCCAGAGTCTCTGGTTCCCTGGGTCTGGGGGCCAGTTGGCAGGTGCTGCTGACAGTGCTCCCCGGGCGTGTTCGTCGCCAGGCCACGTGGAGCTGTTTGGTGGAAACGTGGAGCCGGGCATTTGAGTGCAGAGACAGGGAGTCTGCTCAGGCTGAACTGAGAATCCTGCATGCTCAGCACGCCTGCCTGACATGAACCTGGCGGCTCTCTGCCTTCACTGCGGAGGCACGCAGAGCCCGCGGTGTAAAACTAAGGAGCTTAAATTAAAAGCAAACTTCCCTGGCCAGAAAGCCACCTGTTGACCATTTGGGTAAGTACAGTCAGGCCTACACATTCTCACTCTGACTCGCTCACATCGTACTCAGAACGGTGCCGCCGTGGCTGTGAATGGATTAAAGTATCAATGAAACTAGCTCAGCGCCTGCTCATGCCAAACTGTGAAGTGAGATTGCTCTCCATTTTGCTTTAAGAAGGCACAAACGTCTGGCTCAGAGTGGGCGTATTATACAATAATAGGAGCTTGAACCTGCACATTGTTGTAGGAACACTGAGCCCTGGGAGCAGTCACAGCTGTACATGCTGCCTACCGCGCCCTGTGAGCGCTGCTCCCAGTCTGAACGCTGGGGACGCGACGCGGGTGCGGCGGGCCCTGTCCTGGGCGCAGGGAGGGCCGTCTGTCCTGCTCCGAGAGCCACACAGCGGCTCGGACGCAGTGTGAGGACAGTGAGGCGCTTCCCCAGGCTGGTGGCTCGAGCCTGTGAAAATAATCAGGATTTGGGGACTGTGCTCGCATAATTGCTTAGAACCCTACTTTGTGCTTTAGAATATCATGTTGAAAGGGCTGGTCGACAGGGTCATCTGTGACCTCAGCGTTCCTGATGACTCATTCCTAAGAGTCTGAACGGGCAATAGAGTTTTCAAGGCCTGTGTTCTCCTCCCGCTCCCTGCCGCCCCGCGCCCCCCACCTTCTGTGGCCATGACCCTGCAGATAAGGTCCGGCCTTGCAGAGACCAGCCTTCCTGTCTCCTGAGCTCCATCCCCCCCCTACCCTCTGGGCTTGTCCCGTTGGGTCTGTCTCAGGCAGAGCGAGCCACAAGCTGTAAATACAGTGTCACTGATTCTCCTGTGCTAACGGGCGTGGCTGGTGGGTGTCAGCGCTTGGCCCAGGCTGAGCTCTCCGAGACCCCATTTCCTTGAGTTGTCATTCGTTTGTGCATATGGGGTAGCTCTTGCTCTGCAAGATTCTCACACTGTTGGTCAAACGTTTGTAAACTCGGCCTAACAAACCCTGGCAGGTGCTGGCAAGCGCTGCCCTGCCCTGGGGTGGAGGCCCGACGGGCCGGGCTGTGTCCTCAGCACCCGTGAGGCCTGGGTGTCGGGGAGCTGAGACCTGGTCTAGAGATTCAGGGAGGGGCACGATGAAGGGGTGGGTGTGGGCTGGGCCTGCCACGGCCTGAGGTGCGCTCGCTGCAGGCCAGGGAAGAGCCTGTCTTGTTGGGAGTGAGGAGGCGTCCTCAGCCTTGCAGGAGCTGCGCCTTGCAGGAGCGGTTGACCAAGGATGGGGTACGGGCTCAAAGAACTACAGGAACAGGAGGGGAAATGGGGCTGGGGATGGCACATGCTTTCTCTCATTGATTGGATCGCATTGTGGGCAGGGGTGGGGGTGGGGGCAGAGGGCGGGCAGCTGGGTTTTCTTCTGAGGCCATTGAGGGAGGCCAGCATCCCTCCGCCTCCGCCTCCACCATGCTGTCCATGATGCCGCCCAAGAGGCTGGCCCTTCCCTCCCTCTCTTCGCCGGTGCCCAGTTCCACACCCCCCAGCACCCCACCCTCACACCGCGCGGCTCCCCCAGTCTCCTCAGGAGCCTTTCCTGACCCCACACTCGTGTTTAAATTAGCCTGGCCTGCCTCGGTGTTCTCTCCTTCCTCTTCATAGAGCCCGCCACAGTTTGCAACTAGACACATAACGGCCTTTTTACTTCTATTTCTGTCTCCCTGCTGGACAGTCAGCACTCATACTGTGCATGGCACACACGCACCCACAGCGCCAGTACACGCACATGCGCACAGTACACACACACGCGCACAGTACACGCACATGCGCACAGTACACACACATGCACACAGTACACACACGTGTACACAGTACACGCACATGCACACAGCACACACACGTGCACACAGTACACGCACATGCACACAGTACACACACGTGTACACAGTACACACACGCGTACACAGCACATGCACATGCACACAGTACACACACGTGCACACAGCACACACACGCATACACAGTACACACACATGCACACAGTACACACACGTGCACACAGCACACACACGCATACACAGTACACACATGCACACAGTACACACACGTGCACACAGTACACACACGCGCACACAGTACACACACATGCACACAGTACACGCACGTGTACACAGTACACACACGTGTACACAGTACACACACATGCACACAGTACACGCACATGCACACAGTACACACACGCGTACACAGTACACGCACATGCACACAGTACACGCACGTGTACACAGTACACGCACATGCACACAGTACACGCACGTGTACACAATGCCAGGGCACGGCCTGTCGGCTGTGTAGTTAGTACCCAATAAATAATTGTTCTTTATTGAACTAATCAATAATTTTTTCCCTAAAGAACATTCTTAATATCTTGAGCATATTTTTCAATAAATGAGATAAAAGACTAATTTTAATACAAATAATGATGTCTTTCTAAAATATATTCAATTATAAGTGTGGCGCTGACATGTCACAAATTTAAACATCTCTCAATAAAATCTGTGCTTGAACCATTGTACAGCCCCTCTGGGATTTTATGATCCGTGTTTAAAATGCAACCAGAATTTTCCACTGCTCTTAAAGTTTTTCTTTTTAAATAGCTTAGAATTAGAGCTTTTTTTTGTTTTTGTTAATCCTCACGCGAGGATTTTTCCCCCCATTGATTTTTAGAGATAGTGAAAGGTAGGGGGAGAGACAGAGAGAGAAACATTGATTGGTTACCTCCTGCATAGGTCCCAACTGGGGCTAGGGACTGAACTGCAACCCAGGGGCATGTCCTTGACTGGGAATCGAACCCAAGACCCTTTGGTGCGAGGGCTGATGTTCTAACCACGGACCTCAACCAGCTGGGGCAGATTAGAACATGTTTGATGGTTGTCTCTAATACTGGTAGAAGCCAGGAGAAGAAAATCTTTTAGCTGCTGTCTGTGTACAAGCCCCTTTTTAAAATTCCCAGTTTATAAAAAGTAGCTTGGGAGAGGAAAGGTCAGGCGGGTCCCCTCCGCAGCTGGCACCGAACATTCCGTAACAAAGCTCCAGTTTTGAAATAACTGAAATACATTCAGCAGCGAAACTGTGGGAAGCAAAATTTCACTTTTCTCCTCTTCGAACCCCAGAGCCTTGGCCGGCCGCTGGGTCCTCCCAGGAACGGAACAGGTGCCGTTCCTTTCGCTCCTGTAGTCAGAGGCCAGAGCAGAGAGCTGGCTGCTGCGCTGTGTGCGGGTGGGGTTTGGGTACGTGAGATTTGGGCGGTAATTCCCAGGTAGTTGGGCACAACCAGCAGCTGAGGCTCTGGGAGAGAAGCCCTCCCCTCCCAGGCCTGGCCAGGCTAACGCGTGTCTCTCTCCTCCCCAGCCCAGCGACTTCTCCGTGTCTCTCAAAGCGTCAGGGAAGAACAAACATTTCAAGGTGCAGCTCGTGGACAGCGTCTACTGCATCGGGCAGCGGCGGTTCCACACCATGGACGAGCTGGTGGAGCACTACAAAAAGGCCCCCATCTTCACCAGCGAGCACGGGGAGAAGCTCTACCTCGTGCGGGCACTCCAGTGACGCCTGCCGGGCCCTGCCGCCTCCAGCCCCGGTGCCGCCCTCACTTCCCCGAGGAGAAGACGTGGCCTCCTCTGCCCGGCCGACCTGTCCAGGCCATTCCTGCCTCCTGTTGGCCACCCCAGGCCCTCGCTCCGTGTCCCAGGCCACCCGATCCTGACCAGTGTGGAGAAGGGAGGGGGCGGGTTTGTTCTCTTTATTTCTGCTCTCTTGGAAACAGCCTCAGTCTGTTCAACCTGTTCATGCCGTCAGCACCGCGATGAGAAGACGCGGTGCAGCGGGAACACACGGAAGCTGCCCGGGATGGGGTGACCCACAGTGCACTCCCGGGGCCTCGGCGAGCGCTGGGCTCTGATCCGGCAGCGCGGGCGGAGGTCCCGGTCCCCAGCAGCCCCTGCTCAGCCCTTTGCCCTCCCCTGGCGCCCAGCTCTCCAGGAGTGGCCCGTCTGCTGGGAGCTATCCCGGAGCCACCAGGGAGGCCGCAGCGAGGAAGCTGCCCAGTGCCTTTGGGGCTGTGCTTGCAATAAGAAAGGGTTTCCGGAAGGTCCGTCTGCAGGAGGGACGGCCGCTCGGAAAGAGACGTTTGGTGATCTCCCCCGGTGTGCCATCCACATACTGCTTTCCTCTTGCCTTTGGCTTACGTTCACAGTTTTAATTCTCAGAGTGATAGGTATCTGTAGCCATTTGTTGACACTAAAACAGATGATTAAGGAAAACAGCTGATCTTTTGGGAAGGGAAGCTACCAACACTTTACACACACACAATATATACATATATATATTTTATATATATATATTATTTGCTTTACAGGGTTTTTCAGGGTGTACAAAGGAATATGTAATTGGTAGGAAAAGACACACAGAATGTTTGTTTTCTTTTTTCTTTACATTTGAACTTCTTTATAGTTTAAATATACTATCTTGAGATGGCACATTCCTACAGTCAAAGAAGGGGTCTTGAGACCTCCTCAACTTGCATACTCAGTTTTTTGGATATTGTAATAAAAAAGTATTACAACGAGGCTGTGTGTGTGTCCTGGGGAACCGACTCTGCGACCGGAGGCTCCGCAGAATGCTGGGCCCTGAAGGGAGCGTCTGAGAGGAGTCGCACGCGGTCGTCGCAGCGGGGTTTCCTTCTCTCTGCCTCATCTCTCTGTAGTGAAATAATGCGTTACCTCCTGAAACTCCCAGAGAAGCCACAGTCATCAGCTGGGCCCCCACCTCAGCTTCCCCCTGCACTCGCTTATTCCACTCACTCGGGAGGGGGATGCTGCCATCACCCCCGTTATACAGACGGGGAAGGAAGGCACCACGTCACTGCACCAGGGACGTGGCTGGCACATGGTGGGCAGGGCTGCAAACCCAGAGGTGTCCGCGCCCTTCCCACCAGCCTCGGGCGTCCAGGAGAAACAGGCATCCCGTGAGCATCTGCACATGGTCTGTCATCCCTGTCCCTTGAGAGTCAGTGGTGCCTTTTCGTTGCCGTTGACATAAATTAGAAATTTGATAATAAATTGGAAGTTTGGTGTCTGGTGCCCTTGGTTGGGACCACACAGTATAGAAGAGTAATGAGGCAGATGAGGACTCAGACAACACGCTGGTTCACTGCTGTCTCCAGGAAGGAGCCACTCCTCCGACTCCTCCCGGTCTCGCTGTTGGCATCACATTTTGTCCTCGCGCTAGAATTCCTCTAGGCCAGCGGTTCTCAACCGCTGTGCTGAGGGCACCGGGGTGTCGCAGGAATTTTTAAGACATGCAGTGCCTGCCTATTTAGTCAGAGGACTGACCTCTTTCCCCTAGATTGTCAGGTTAAAAAATGACAACAATAGTGTGAATGCCCTGGCTGGAACCATAAATGTATAGGTCATGTCATAGCATTGCATCTTATTGGTCACATTGCATTAATAAGGTCGCACCTGTTTGGTTAATTCTTGGCACCAGAAATCCTTATGTACAAGTTAGGCACCTGATTTTTTTGAAAAGTCACTCTGGAACAAAAAAGGTGGGTAATTACTATTATTATTTTTCATAAATCAATCAAAATCACTCCTATTTTTTGGTCAGATTAGAAAAATATGTGATCTATTTTGGGCGTGCTGCAGAGTTTTAGTGACTAGTTTACGTGGCCTGAGGGGAATGTTGCAAAGCGCTGCTCTAGAGAGCAAGTGCCAGGAAACGGACAGGCTGAGCGGACACAGCTCTTCAGGAAGAAACAAGTGGGACGCGGGACAGACGCGTGTTTTGGCTTCAGGAATTTGAAGGCTTACTGTTGTGATTGACAGCTCTTCTCAGTCTTGTCCCAAGCTGCTGTGCGAGTCCTCCGGCCGCCGGGTGGGTCAGAGTTGTCTCTATGAAGGACGCAGCGCCCGGGATGGCCTGGCAGCAGGTGGGCCAGGAGCGGGCAGTGAGGCCAGGTGAAGCGTCGGTGGCGTGGGGCAGGAGGTGTCAGGCAAGGGCCCGCCTGGCTTGGAGTGTGGACCGCCTGTGCCCAGGTGGCACCACTGCCGTCCCCTCCTGCACGCCCGGAGAGTCCCTGGGCGGGGCTGGCGTTGCGGCTCCTGGCCTCTGCAGACAGCGGGGGATGTTCAAGGTCATTCATTTCTTCATCGTGTGGCGGCTCATTTCTGTGCACTAACTGCCCTCGTTTTTCACGGACAGCCCCCTAGTCGGTGCTGAACCCCCAGCCTTCCCACATCGCTTGTGCAGTGCCATTCTCTCATATTTCTAGCGCGCTGAGCTGCCCGTCTCTTCTTCCGAGGTGCATCACAAACTGAAATCTTAAATTAGAATCTTTGCACCCACTGAAACTCACATTTCTGAAAAGGCATTCTTGGTGAAAGGACAAATTTGTCTGGTTTCTGTGTGCTTGCGGATTTATAATTTACTTTTGTGCCAGTAACTCCTTAAGACCGACGTTCAGAACTGAGAGGATAGGAAAGTTTGAAAGAATTTATTACTTGCCAGTAAATACAGGTTGGGTTTTGGCGTTCTCTCACGAGAACCCAGCACTGTTGGGCTTTATTTGTCGTTGCTGTGTGATCCGTGTCAGTGATACACTAAGTCACTCCTTGCCCGGTGGCAGCTGCTGTCCCGCGAGCAGCGTCCCTCGTCCCGACATGGCCGCTCTGCCCACAGCCCGCGTGGAGCGCCCGCTGCCCTTGGCCGTGGGGCTTCGGCAGAGGTGTCGGCTTCCCCGGCGGCTCGCTCACAGGTAGGTGGGCTGCTCCCATCTGCGTCCTCCCAGGCTGTGAGGATCCGCTGGGGGAGCACTCGGCGCACTTCCTTACGTGCTACCCCACCGGCGTCCACGCAGCCAGGCCTCCCGTGTGGCCCGGGGCCTCCTGGACCTGTTTCCTCCTTGGCGGGAACTCCTCGGTGCCTCCTCCTCCCGCTCCCGCGGGGCAGCCAGACCAGGTCCCTTCAGAGGCTCTGCTCCTGGCCTTGCGGACTCAGAGCCAAACCACCCCCGTGCAGCCATCAGGCTCTCCCGCATTTAAAGAGGTGCTGCTCCGAGACTCTCAGGCGACCTGTGTGCCCCCTCGGTCACCCGGCCTCACAACGCACACCCCTTCCGTTCTTCCCTGGGGAGCGAAGATGCACGTCACACCCTGAAGTGAGTTCTGGAGAAGCATCTTCAGGGTGGGGCGGGACACCTCCCTCTCCTGGGGCGGGAGGCCCTTGCATCTCTCAGCCTGAGCTGGCAGCACTGGCCGTTAAGTATTGTGTGAACGTTGAATAAGGCCACTAACGTCCAGAAAACCTTTCCCCGTCTTACATCTGGCAGTGCGAGGTCTGGGCGCCAGCACAGTCTGGTTCGGGTGGGACCCTCCTCCATGGTCCAACCTGGTGGGGAGAGCCAGCCGTCCCCCCGGCCTTCCTCAGGGCACTGGTCCCATTTGTGGGGCTTCTGGAGTGACCTCCCAAAGCCCGCCTACCCATCCCATCACACTGGGAATAGACTGCCACATGCGAACTTGGGGGGTGCAAGCACTCAGTGCCTAAGACCCTCTGCTCAGCAGGCGGTATCACTGTGAGGGAGCTGCTGTTGTTCTAAAGAAGCGGCTCATGCAGACCCAGGGGCGTTGTAGTTCCAGCCACGAGCAAATGTCCTCCACTCAGCTCGCCCTCCAGCCGGCAGAGGTGCAGGGCCGACACCTGCCTGCTAACTGCTCCCTGAAGAGTCTCTTGTGGGCGCTTGGGGCCTGCGCTGGGGGTGCCGCTCTGGGCTACTTAACTTTTGGGGGAACCCCCTGCCCCCACCGCCTTGTGCATGCTCTCATGTGACTGACATTTTCTACAGCAGGTCCTTTCTTCGGGTCATGCAAAGAGAGATATCCGGTACTGGATGCCTGAAATGATCTATTTTTTAAAACAGTCATTTGCCTTAACCTCCATTTGGATGTCGCCTGTCGCAGCCACCAGCCACACAAGCTGCCTGGGAGGACTCGGCGTGTCCGTCTTGCGGGGTCCTGTTGCTGGGCAGGAAGTTGTCACTGGAGGCGGATGAGCCCAGCTGGTATGAAAGGGAACTTTGACAGCTGCTACAAGGCGTGGCCTCCCACCCAGGGGTGGGCATTGGGCCAGCTCTTCAGCGTGGGGACCAAGTTATGCAGCAAAGTTGGGAACCAGAGGCCCAGAGCTTGTACTCGAGCTCCCACTGATGGGTGAGGGCGAGAACAGAGAGGCCGTGGCCCTACCTTCATGGCCATCGAAGCCGTCGACCTGCAGGTCTGCCCCTGGCCAGCCTGGGACCTCCACCGCGTTCTGAAGTGAAATGGCCTCAGAACAGTGAGAGCTGCACTTCTTGCACAGGGTGATGTGACATTCAAATCAGGTGAACTGCTGTGCATACTGATGCTGAGAGCCTTTTACAGCTTTTAAATGATCTTAATGAAAAGGGGAAATATATTAATATGTTAAATGCTTATCTAAATAAGCCTAGTAATCCAAGTCTGCAGACCACATCCTTTCTTAGGACCACGAGACACAGAGACACCATATGCAAACGATTTCAGCCTGGAGCTCCATGGAGTCCCGATGGCATTCAGACCCAGTATTGCTTTCTGTAAGGAGAAAGGTTTCTGCTGTGGACTTTGCTTGGTTTCCTGGTGGTTTTAGAAGATAATTTTATCTTTGGTTAATAT